TTAATCCATTAGGTAAAAGGTTATCTGAGTTTAAAGCTTCGATAATAGATCTCGTCCTAAAAGTTGAATCGGACACTCTGGCATATATAGGAACTAATGCTTCACCACAGAATGTTCAGCACCTGTGTCGATCATGAAAGAACTTCTCTTTCCCCCTATTGCTACATCGACCATAGGCTACGCTCGACCAAGTGGGATGGAGCCCAGTCGGTATCAATAGTCTTCCATGATAGTGTCAGCCAGACCCACAAAATCTCTATACTCTCTTTCTCTAGGTCTCTGCGTGGGTGGATAGTATCTGTCTCCTTGAACACTTCCTCTACTATTCCCACCATTCCCTCTAAAACTTCCTCTTACTCTATAACTACCACTATAACCTCCTCGTACCCTTCTCTCTCCTTGTCTATCACCTTCATACTGCTCTCTCTGTGGACACTCACTCTTCCAATGTCCCTCCTTTCTACAATACGCACATTAATTCCTACTTAAAGTCCCTTGCTCAGCCTATTCTCGTCTCCTCTATTCACTTCCCTGTCTTTCTACACTTAAGATAGCTACCGCTAGCATATCTGCCTTTTTCCTCATTTTACGTTCTTCCTCCATCTCCCTATTCATATATACTGTATTTGCAATCTCCATTAGCTGTATTATGGACATCCCTACAAATCCCTCTAATTTCTGTAATTTCCTTTTACTATCACCTTGGGCCTGGCTGACAAATGCTGAGTCTATCATTCGGAAGTTTTCAGGATTGAAAGGAGTGTACAATCTATTTGACTCAAGCAGTGTCTAATATGGGACTTCGGCAAGGCTGCCCAATAATAGGTTCCAGTCTAGGAGTAGTAAGATAATTTTATTAGTCAGCATTTGGTGGATGAAAAAACTTTTTGTTTTTTTTTAAAGTGTTAAACCAAAAACCTACCAGTAGGTGTCACCAGAGGGTAATTGTATCAAAATAATCTTTATGGGTCTAATAAGAAAACTCAACTTTTAATATATTTATACATAAAATAAAACCTTATAGCAATAAATATATTAAAATAGGGTAAGCAATCCTACATCTATCTGTTATAAACAATGCATTATCAATGTAACTCCCGAAGATGGCCAGTAGGTGGCTTAGAGTGCCTCCCTAAAGTCAAATGAAACAAATAGACTTTAATTAATTATGTCCTATTTTATTATTACTTATTTTAATCAATGTCCACCCTGCTAGCTAGGTTTGATTAAATCTTTAGTTCTAAGGTAAATTAAACATTTCAGTTTGTAGTTTAGTAAAAGGGGACATTTTGGACAAAGCTGGGAGGGGCCCATCCAGTAACTAAAAAAACCAATATACCATTTGATACCATTGATCATTGATTAGGGGGAGGGGTAGTACAGAAATACAAGAGTTTGAAACACAGGAACAGATAGGTATGTGGGTAGGCGGGGACAGTAGAGCAGGGGAGTGCAAATACTGATTATACCAGCCAGAAATGGGCGTGGCTAATCTGGCTCTGGAGGATGTTTGGGGGGTTGGTAATCAGATGCCAGGGGGGGAGGGGATGTCCAAAGCAGTTGTAATTAAGTCCTTAGTTCTGACCACCATGTGGCTACATTGTTTCCCATATGACACAGTTTAATTCACCAAGGCAACAATCAGTTTCCAACAGTCAATATATAGAAACTGATCATAGAATTCCAGCCTACTAGTTACAGCCACATGTACACCCTGCACTAAATTTAAGTGAAGACTGCTACATGGAGGCCATGCGGCCACCAGGACAAGCTACTCCCTACTTTTTTTTTTTTTTTAAACATACAAGACAAAGCCTTGTGAATCAGAAGATTATTTCAACAGAGCATCTGATTCAAAAAGCTGTACAAATATACACACAGTTTCAACAGTCACACCAATCTCCTTATCACCAGCAACACATTGCGCAGTCACTAGGCCCAAACACACACACAGGATCCTCACATGCTCAACAATATCACGACGTCGCACACACGAAATTAAATCAAAAACCCACCAAAGACTATACACTTATCAATGTAACTATTATTCAAACCATACAACTATCCACGCTATTAATCCATATAAACTAACCGATCACATAACATTTCAACAAATTCATCTCTACAATTATCTGTACTATAAATCAACTTTTGACTAACCAACTATATCACATTCTAGTAACCTCATCTTTACAGTCAGTGGTTATGGTACAGTTAGTAAGTGGTTATAATACATTTTTAAAGTCACAGATCAGTTAGTAACAGTTATGGTATTATACATATAACATAAAACAGCAATTGTTAGTAATTTTTACACAATGTCAGTGGTTATGGTACATGTCAGTAGTTATGGTACCGTGCGCTATTTTACAGTTATACACACAATTTACACTCCCACTAGACAGCAGAGCTCTAACTTTCTAGTAGGACATACAAGTTAACCAATTCACCAACTACAATATATTTAACAACATTTACAATAATCCCAACTAAACTATTGGCCAGTACCTTGAATAGACTACCTAAAACTATATACACCCGTTTTGGTTAGCCACACTGCCCAAGCACCACATATAGCGAACTAGAGGGCGGAAATTGCCCTTCTAGTCTATTTACTCTATCAAAAGTCTAGTGGGTTCCAAATTTACACGCCTTCCCACTTAGCCAAGATAGGTTGAGAGCTAGCGAACCGAATTTACACAGGCGCCGCTTAGTCTCCCGGTCCCTCCGACCTAGCGAACGTAATATACACCCTAGAACGCTAGTCTAGACAAGACACCGGTGTCCGGCTAGGGCTATTTACACAGGACCCCGCCTGACTAACCAGATCAAACGGTCTTACTAAAGAGCGTTCGATCGAGCGGTGCGCCTTCGCTCCTTCCCTCCGACAGAGGGGGCAGATTCCATACACAGATTTAAACCCCTTTTGGGCCTACCGCACAATCGGTATACCCCTAGTGGGTCTGCCGTCTAAAACAGCAGTTGTCTTACCTCCTCGTTCCTGAACCTGAGTTCACACTCATCGACGGGGACACCCCAGCACTTCTTACGTAGAGGCCGATGATCTCCTGGACAACAGACCAGTGGCGCCGAGACGAAGGGAGGTCCACGCAGAAGTTCAGGGGTGCAGCCGTAGAGAACGTGGGCAAAGATAGACCGTCTCACGCCTCTGCCTCTCAGCTACCGTTGAACGATGAGCTTCCCAGCCAATGCACCAAATGATACCGGAGAAACTGACGGAAGCAAAGCACAGAGGGATGGACACAGGTTTCTTCAGGAAGGAAGAGATTCTTTATTGGATCACCGATCGGGACTCAGAGGGACTAATGTCACCAAAAATACAGCAAGTTCTGAGCCCTGAACAATAGTGCAGGCTCCCTATATAGGCACATAACTCCTCCCATTAATAGCTACACCCACATATACCTTTAACCAATCAATGAGCAGAATATAGACTTGTACATCTAGTCAAACCACATGGCCCATCCAAGACAAAGGAAATAAGTGCAATTTCAGTTCCTGCATTCCTGCACATGCTCAGTACACTGATGACAGTATCCTAGCTACATGTAGCTAACCAACTGACACAACATACACATATGCCACATGGAGATTTTGGCCTACTAAATTTTAACCATGCTGGAATCCCATCACAAATCCAGTTTGTTCCTGGCCCAGGCAGGGGTAGGCAATCTTTGGTATTCCAGATATTGTGGACTACATCCACCCAAAAAGATGGTATGCAAAACAAACATATACAGTACAAACTAGATGATACTTCTATAAAGCGTTCTTATACAGTTGTATACATTTCTAAATACATTTTGTTTTTCTGCATCAATTCTTTTTATGCTGCTTAGGCACTAGCCGTGTGTAATGCTGTCATTGTTAACCAGGAAAAAAGAAATTGGTTTTTGTACTTATGGCAAATTTCTTTTCCTGGTTATTTTCCCATGCCAATATATTTATTTTTTCAAACATTTGCCTAATGCATCTCTTTATCTACCAGCATGCACATTTTAATATTCTGTCCTTATTGCTAAGAGGAGCTATCCATAAGTAAAACTACTTTCATTGAAAATATCTAGGACAAAACAATTATGGTAAGTGTGACCACATTTTCTGTTTTTGTGTTGATTTTTACATATAATTTTTCAGATCTCACAAATGCATAATGTTAAAGAGCATATGTAAACATAAAGGATGAGTAAGTTGAATGTATTCACATACATATTTGCTGTAGGTTAGGTGATCTAAAAAAAAGTAGTTTTGGCTTGGTATTCGCCATAGCTGGAGTATTGGCTGTTATTTAGCTGGATGGGAGCAGGCATATGAGGTGCAATGTATTGGTAAAGAGTAACAGGAAGAAGAGCCAGGCACTATCAAGACCTTGGGTTATCCCTGGTACTAGGCTATTTTACCACTATCTCAGCCTTTAATTTTATCTTGAGCACAATGGCAGGGTATGGAATGGGGATAGGGTTGCAGTTGCAAAGTTTTAAAAGGCTTGTATAATATCATTTATTATTGAAGTATTTGTAAGTGATCATTAATTCAGTATTACATTTAAGGGCATTTCCAAAATTCCATCCAAACAATAATTAAAATAGAAAAGGACAAACGGTATACTGAGGGCTGTATAAAGAGAAAGATGCAATGGTGTTTCGTGCCTACAAGGCACTTCCTCAGAGACATCTCCAATAACCATTTTAGCACAGGCTAAAATAGTAGATTCATTATGAAACAAACACCTCCAACAGAAAGACTAGCCAATAAAAAATACTATAACAATCAAGGATAAACTGAATTGTGTCTGCTAAATTTATCAAAACACTGTGAAACTATATTGATTGGTCCACTCTGAATAAATACCAAAGGGCATTAAAGGGTTAGTCCAAGCTTCATGATCACTTCAGTGATTTCAAGTGGTCATGGTGCCAAGTGTACATTCACTTTTACATGTGTTTCACTTTAAAACTCTACACATATGGAGTTTTATCCATCTACTGCTGGAGGTGTAACTCCAGTCCGACAGTCTACAACAGTGACGGCTTCAAGTAATCGGCTGTGTCTGTGGAGGATCCCAAGGTCCAGGGGGAAGGATGGCATAGCACGCCCAAACATCAGTTATTCCCCATTGGGAGACATTGGGAGGCTAGCGAGCATACACAGCAAAGCTCCGTGCTGCGCCAATCAGTTAACCTGGCGCTTTACTTGACTATTGTGGCAGAAGAGTCTCAAGTTGCTGTCTGGGAAATAGCCAATATAAGCATGTTAACCCTGAAATGTAAGCATTTCCATTCCTGCAGGGTTAAGCAGACTGGGAGACAGCATTGAGATGAAGTGGTCTGAGTACGTATAGAGTCCTCTTAACCCCCCCCCCTGAAAAATTAGTATTTCAGAAAGACAGAATTTCACTGACAAAAGACAGATTCTATTTTTAGTGCAACAGTTGATAAAACTATGAATGTTGTAACTCTTATTTATCTCCCTTTCTCATTGAGTACACCCAGGGGAAAGCCCCAGAGCACCAGTGTAACGGATTCCCTATATCCCCCTCCGCTGTAGTTCTCTTAAATCCCAAGTAAAGCAGTGATTAAAGCTCTAAACTACCCAAACATCAGCTTAGACTAGATAAAGAGTACAACAGGAATAATTTATTCTGGCCAGATGGCCTGCTTTTATACACATCAGGGTTACAGTTAAACACACCCACAACACTCCCACAACACACCCATGAATTTGTGAGTCAGGATGACTGAGCATAAAACATATAAATGCCCCAAAACATCATACAAATATATACTAACCCCACAATAATTAAATCCTTAAATAGCCATGATCTAAGTGCCCAAGTTTTCTAAATAGAGTTCAGATCCATGCTGTGTAGGGTAAATGTCACCTAGTCAAAGTTCTGACTGGACAAACAAACAAAAGTTGGAAGATAGTGAGTACAATCCACCGCACACTACACACAAAGGTAATAGTGCCGGGTGTACCCACTACTCTTCTGTACCGCAAGGAGACTCCAGGGTTCTCCAGGGGCTTAACCCCCACATCAGTAATTCACAAAACAACAACAAGAATGCCACTGGTCTCAGTACAAATCAAGCCCTGAGACCAGGTGCATTCACTGGATATTTATTTATTTATAAAATATTTTACCAGGAAAGACACATTGAGATTTCTCTTGTTTTCAAGTATGTCCTGGGTCCACAAATCATTGCATTGTTACATTAGGGTGCAATAAAATACAAAACCAATATTAATACACAATATATACAAAATTTAACATAGAACAGGTAGGAAATATATAATCAACCATGACAGGTGCATTCTGTTTTGAGATATGTAGAGAGGGATCTCTTAAAGGACTTTAGGCTTAGGGAAGATTTTAAATTGTGCGGGAGGTCGTTCCCCAATTGCGGTACTCTGTAGGAGAAGGAGGATCGGGCCACTTTCTTTTTGTATTGAGGTAGACTCAGTAAAGTGTTGGTACTGGATCGGAGGTTATAGAAAGTGGGAACAGCTGGGGAAAGCATTTTGTTCAGGAATGGTGGGAGTTTCCCAGAAAAGCTCTTAAACACAAGGCTGGAAAGATGAAGGGTGTGTCTGGATTCCAGCGACAGCCAGTTTAGTTCTTTTAGCATGTCACAATGGTGAGTCCTGTAATTACATTGTAGCACAAATCGGCAGAACGAGTTATACAGTGTGTTGAGTTTATTAATGTGGGCTTGCGATGCAGATGCATATACTACATCAATCAATGATTGGCATCAGCATTTGCTGTACAATCTTTTCCTTTACTGTAGGCCTTAGGCAGGATTTGTTTCTGCACAGGGCACCTAGTTTTGGATAAAGTTTAGATGCAAGTTTTTCTATGTGGAGGCCAAAAGATAGATTGGGGTCTAACATCATACCCAAGTATTTGAAAGAGTGGACTGCGGTCAGTGTGCCATTTGAATTTGTTTTTTGTTTTGATTGATAGGTGGGAATTGTGTAATTTGTGTAATTTAGGTACTGTTCCAAAGATCATTGTGACAGTTTTGTCAGTGTTCAGGAAGAGTTTGTTTTTTGCGATCCACTTTTCTACCTCTGTAAACTGGTCTTGGACCTCAAGCTGCAGTAGATTGGATTTTCTCGCATAGATTACTGTGTCATCCGCGTACATGTGAGGATTTGCAGACATTAGGAAGATCATTTATAAATAATGTAAATAGTAGGAGGCCGAGAATGGAACCTTGGGGAACACCACACGTGACTGGGAGAGGGAGGGAGTCGCTGTCAGAAATGGACACATATTGCAAGCGATCCGATACATATGACCGAAACCAGGTTAGCGAACGATCACCAATACCTGAGTTTTTGAGTTTGTGCAGTAGAATGTCGTGGTCTACTGTGTCAAAGGCCTTTGCAAAATCAAGGAAAATAGCTCCAGTTAGGTCTCCTTGTTCCATGCCAGTTTGGATGTCATTGCAAACTTTTAAGAGGGCAGTTGTAGTGGAGTGATTCTGGCGAAAGCCCGAGGGGTCAGATAGTTTGATTGTTGGTAGTACTCACATAGTTGCGTATGGACACATTTTTCTAAGATTTTTGACAATACCGGGAGCAATGATATTGGGTGTTAGTCAGAAACCAAAGTGGTGTCACCACTTTTATGGATAGGCACTACTCTCGCAGTCTTCCAAAGTTTGGGTATGTATCCAGACACCAAGGATTCGTTAATTAGAGTTGCGACGGGTTTAGCAATTGCCGGTGCACTGAGCTTCAACAGCATTGCTGGGATTTGATCAGGTCCGGACTGGTTTTTCATTTTTAGATTATTAAGATGGTTTTTAATGACACTAACAGGTACAGGTCTAAAAATGAATTTGGGCCTTTACATTTGTAGTTTCAGGATGTGTGTCATTTATTAACTTGGCAATCAGGACAGTAGAGCATCCGACAAAATAATTGTTAAAGGCATTTGCTACATCTAAGGGAAGTTGCAGGGTTTGGTTATCTACCTTGACAGTGGAGGTTTGGGAGTGGATTGGGGGAGTTTGTAGTTTATGTATGACTTTCCAGAAGTTTCTAGGGTTTGAGATGTTATTGTTCAGATTTTCATAGAAATATTGGGCCTTGGCCAATTTTGTCTGTTTTGTGCATATATTTCGCCATTGTCTATATGCACAGTGATCATTCATAGAGCCAGTACGCTTAAACTTTGACCACAAAGAATCCTGAAACTGGTACATTTGGATGAGATCAGCTGTGATCCAGTTCATATGTGCTCCTTTTACCCTCACCTTATGCAGCAGGGCATGCAAATTCCAAATTTGTAGGAGTTCAGACTAAAGAATTCAACAGCACAGTCTAGATCTGGTATAATGTTTAATCTGTGCCATGGGAGGTTCTTGATGTCATTTAGAAAGGATTCAAGATTACATTTTTTGAAGGACCTAGTTATTTTAACCTTGGGAGAGGATTTAATAGCCTTTATTTTGCGCACGCAGTACACTAAACAGTGATCACTGAAACTGTTTGGGAGAACACTGGCCTCCTGGATTCTATCAGGAGAAATGGAGAGAATCCAATCTAGCAGGGTATGGTTATGGCTTTTAATGTTTATGCGAGTTGGGGAAGAGATTAATTGCGATAGCTGCAAAGTCTTAAACAGCGTGCAAGAACTATTATTTTTAGGATTCAGTCAATCAATATTAAAATCTCCAAAGACCAACAGTTAACTTTTTGGGTTTTGAGCTATGGTTTCACTAAGGAGATGGGCTATGTCAGAAAGGGAATGCACGGGGGAGCTAGGTGGGCAGGGCCGCCATCAGAGCATGACAACCGCAACGGTTGTCATGGGCCCGGCGGTCCTGGGGGGCCCGGACTGCTCAGGTCGTCCGGGCCCCAGATTCAGTGGGTACATACCGGGTCGCAGGGGGCCCTGCGACCCGGTATGTACTCACAGGGCCAGCCTCTTCTCCTGGGGGGCCCAGCAGCCGGTCACCTCAGGGCCCCCCAGAGGCTGGCCCTGACAGACTGCGCCTCCTCTTCAGCTCCCTCACAGTCGAAAGGATGTCGGCCGAAGATGACACCGCCCGCACTGCACGCCAGGAGCCTGGAAGAGGAAGCACACAGAGTAGTGCCTCACCACCGTCCTCCTCGGGTATCAGTGTCAGCGTTGGGAGTAGGAATGAAATGGAGGGGGGGGAAGGAGAAGGAATGAATGGGAGGGAAGGAGAAGGAAACGAAATGGGAGGGGAAGGAGAAAGAATGAAAATGGGGGAAAGAATGAATGTAGGGGAAGGGGAATGAAATGGATCGAAATGGGAGGGGGGAAGGAGAAAGAATGAATGGGGGGAAGGACGAAATGGGGGAAGGAATAGAATGAAATGGGGAAGGAAATGGAACGAAATGGGGAAGGAATGAAAATGGGAGGGGGGGGAAGGGGAAGGAATGAACCTAAGGAGAGGGGGAGGAAGGAATGAAATGGGGGGGAAAGAAATGAAATTTGAGGGAGGGGGGGAGAGGAATTAAATTTGAGGGGGAGGAGGGAGAGGAAGGAAATTTGAGGCAGGGAGAGAGGAAGGAAATTTGAGGGACGGGGGGAGAGGAAGGAAATTTGAGAGACGGGGAGAGGAAGGAAATGAGAGGGAGGAGGAGAAGAAGGAAATTGGAGGGGGGAAGAAGGAAATTGGAGAGGGAGGGGGAGAAGAAGGAAATTGGAGGGAGAGGGGGGAGAAGGAAATTGACGGGGGGAGGGGGAGAGATTGACATCCATCACACACAATGCACCCCTTGCACACAGAAAAACACACAATGCATTACACACAGATACACGTACACAAGCAATGCATCCCTTACACACAGCAACACACAATGCACCCCTTACACACACTCAATGCATCCCTTACAGACGCACACACTGCATCCCATACATACACAAACTCATCTTGCAGCCCTTACACAGATTCACACAATGCATTCCTTACACACATCAGGACATCCCCCACACACACACACTCCACTCCCTGTGAACAAACTCATTGGTGGAACATGAAGGTGGACCCTGGGACCCAGACATTGAGCTGTGTAAAGGGCCCTCAAAAAAATGGAGCTGCTTCCCGTTCTCCCAGAACAGTGATTTTTGTGACCAGTTACAAACCGCCTCCAGAGAGCCTGTTGTACACCAGACCAGTGGAGCCAGACGGCAGCTAGAGACCATCATCATCTTTCATCTGGTTGTAAGTAGGCAATCTAGTATATTATTCGTGGCACTAATCTCTAATTTACCTCACATTAAAGGGACACTATAGTCCCCAGAACCACTGCAGCTTAATGTAGTGGTTCTGGTGTCTAGCCTGTCCCTGCAGGCCTTTTAATGTAAACACAGCGGCACTGCAGCACTGGTGTTAGTTAACATGGCAGATCATATGGGTGGGGCATTGTGATGTCACATGGGGGGGCGGCAAACTTTACTTTTGCCTAGGGCGGCAAAAATCCTTGCACTGGCCCTGTAGACACTGCATCTCTGTGGGCGGATTCGGGGGGGGCAGCACTTTGGGCGGACTCTGGTGCAGGCACCGGGGGGCCCAGACCTTGAGCTGTGTCAGGGGCCCCAACATTTCTGATGGCAGCCCTGTAGGTGGGCGGTAGATTCCTGCAACAATGATTGATTTACTGCATGGGATCTCAATTGTGCCAGAAAGGAAATCAAAGGTGGCAGGAGAACTAAGGTTTTGTAAAGGGGTAAACTTTACGGAATTGTCAACATAAATAACAATGCCTCCTCCTCTCTTTGCTCTGTCATTTCTAAAACATGAATACCCCTGTATTGCAATGGCGGTGTCTGGTATTTTAGTCGTTAACCATGATTCTGAGAGCACAATGATTTTTGGTTTGTAATGGGGACACCAGGCTTGCAGTGCATCCGGTTTAGGGAGTAAACTATGGATGTTGCAGTGCACAAAAGAGAGGCCTTTTTTAGTGGGGAGATTAGGACTAGAATTAGCTGGGGGACCAGGGTTAGACGCCACATCATTTGCAAGGGCAAGTAACATAAGGAATAGGAATTTGGACATCATTTTTGTTTGGCCATATAGTGAATGGGATACTTTATAATTTTGTGAGGTGGGGGTAGGAGGGCTATTTTTTATAACGCTCTACCAGCACTCAGCAGATAAGTTACAGGAACAGAGCATGCCATAGTGTATGATAATCTGTGTTCCAATTTGAGGTGTGTGCTTATGCTGGTAGTGGAGTGAACAAAATTGGATTGAGAAAAGGATTATTAAGAATAACAGTATGGTTATATATATAGCAATGTAGAATCCGTATTACAATGAACTGGCTAATAAATCAAAAAAATAATCAAAGATAAATTATAAGACCGTAAAAAATAATAAATAAATAAAGTTTATACAAGTGTAGCAAATGCAACTATGCATCCAGTATATAAACCAGGAGAGGGTAACTCACATATATGTATAGGGATACGATATCACATAAAAATATATATACCTTTATTGGAAAGCTAGCTTAAAAAATGAAAAATCAGTCCCAATATGTTACCCCTAACTCTGGTATAACCAGGACACTCCTCTTGGTCACCCTATACCTGCCAAGGTTAAATAAGACTGAATCTCGGAGACTATATTCACAGGTGAAAGAAGATAATTGTAAATCCAAAGTATCTATATAGTAGTTATAGTATAATTACAGTGAGTGATACAATATATATGAAATTAAAAACCATTATAGCAAAAAATAACCTCAATAGGTCTAAAAAGGGTTCCAGAGGAGAAATACTGTCAGACAGCAAATATAGAGAGTAGACAGTGTTATATCAAAGGTCAGTTTCAAATAAACTGACAATAGAATTTTATAAAGCCTCTCTCCCTTTGAATCTATCTAGACAGGCATAGAAGCAGAAAGATTAAATAGTGAGTAGCAGAATCATATTCAACATAGAAGAAGTGCTTAAATAAGCTAGTGCCCAGTGCCCATGATCAAAAAAATTATAAAAAGGAAAAAACGCCCGACGCGCGTTTCTGTGCTTTGAATAATGCACCTTCGTCAGGGGCCCTGACTGGCCACACACATGGTCCTATGCCCAAAATAGTTCCAGGGCATTTGTGCTTTGGTCGGTCAACTTTCGGGAGCTCCTGGGGCCGCAATACAGGGTGCTCCACCTTGGTCTCGGGTAGGGTTTTTTCCCCTTAGTCTCAGGCACCTTCCCTAAAAAAAGCGTTCTCATGGATTTCAAAGCCATTCAAAACCACGGACGAAATAGTCTGGGAGCCGCACGGTCACCTCATGCCGAATTTAGTTCCATAACGATCGCGGCTAAGTACCACTGAGGACAATTCGTCGGTTTCTTCAAGCGAACGGCCGCCAGGGAGCTAGTGTTCGGTTCCATTCGAATGAAGGGAAAGTGCCAAACCAGGGGCACCAAGGGAGAGCTGGTAATGGAGGCTGGGGAGATTTAACTCCCGCACAGGATCTTTGTATGTGGCCCATAGTCCTTGGGCAGGAGGCTAGCTAGCAGGCTCCTCCAGGAGTTCGTGACAAACGTCCAGGGTAAGGAGTGTTTGTCACATATCTGCCAGCTCCTGGGGAGACTAACCAGACCCCAGATCTCCAATCGGTCTGGGTCTTTGTTAGTCTGGTGGCCTTTTCCAAAAGGTGCAGTGATCCAGAGGGCCTCCTGCCACAAGCACCTGTTTATACATCCAGGGTCTTTCTGGGAAGGGCAACTGCTAAAATCAAACAAAACTTCCAGGGTAAGGAGCGTTTGTCACAACCAGTTCCTCCAAATTCTTTAAAAAGAATCTTCAAGGGAGCGTACATATGTATCAAAGGCAGGCCTCCTATTCATATGCATCTATATTCTTTTCTACTGTCTTGCCACCTTTGTCAGAATTTGTAATTTTTATGAACAAAGAAGGATTGTCCAGGCGCTCAAGGTAAAATGACAGGCAGATTTACTAAAAAGACAAAGTGACATTTCGACCCCAACTGCGGTCTTTATCAAGCTACCACCATAATGCATAGATACAATATATACAGAAAGCATACAATAAGTTAAGTTGATGACAATAAATAAAGTGCAAGTTCTACAATTAACTTGATTAGTAGCAGTGCACAATGTGCAGGCTTACATAATCATCCACTCGATCAGTAACAGGATTCTGAACTACAAGGAGACTGAGCATGCCAAGAAACAAAATTACATCTGGAGTAACAATAAATAAAATGTAGGCGTCACAATTAACTTGATTAATCACAATGCATAAAATGCAGGCTTACTTAATTATCCAATTGGTCATTGCCAGAATACTTATGAACCAGGAGCCAGATTGCACTTGAAGGCATGATGATGTCAGAAGCCAACAGGGCATGATGATATTCAGTGCAAAAATAGAAGGGCAACATATAACACAATACCATTATATGCCAATGTGCCACCTTTCAGCATAAAGTATAAGAACGAAAAATTTGGAAAATACAAATAGAAAGCCATATCTATTACGAGCCACATATGACGTGGTCACGTTACAACGTGCAGTTACATGAACACGTCAAAAAGTGAAACTCCTATATTCCATAAGTCTCAATATCCTGGCCGACCAGACAGAAGCAGCGTTGGAACAAACTGGATCAATTTTAAAAAAGTGCAAAAACAAAAGAATAATAATAATAAATTTTAAAAAAGTAGAAATAAACAAACAAATTAATTATGTCTTGGATGTTAAACGAGTTAAATGGTGGCACAAAATGGAAAGAATACACTATAAAGGCACATTACAATATATAATATAATAGAAATAAATTACACTCGATATGTTTGTAAATAGATTATAATCCAAAATAGAAGCACATAAATAGGCTGCACAGATTCCTGTTGATATTAATTAATAGCCAAACATATTTTTTTTACAATAGCCCTAATAGAAACTCTAACAACACGTTGCTTAAAAATAATAATAATAATAATAATAATGTCATGATAAATTTGCAAAATATATGATGTCACAAAATAGGGGGGAGGGTGGGAGCAATGCTGACAACTTAATAAAAGTGCTAAGTTCAAAGTGCAGAAACAAATAGATAAGGTGTATCATAATATCTAGAGAATAAGTGGTAAAGTCCACGCAACAAAAGTGCTAAAATAAATAGTTACAAAAAAGCACCTAAAGTGCTTAACCTACTAAAGTGCTGAATAAACAATTACAACAAAATAACATATGTGTTTAAATTTCTAAGGTACTTCCTATAGTGCAAGATTGCTATTAAACTAAAGTGAAACAATGGTAGTGCATAGTTACTACAAAGTGTCCACCAGATTCGTAAAATCAAGGAAGAAAATTCATGGAGATTCAGATGTAGAGGTAAACCAGCACCAAGACTTGGATATAAATATCTGAAAACAAGAAATATAGAATAAGCTAAAAAATAAACATCCGACCCTGTATCATGGAGTGACACTAAGCACAGTTGAAACAAGTATAGTTACCTTTTCTCTGTTTACTTAAAAAAATCAATATCTGGAAATTATCTACTGAATTGTTGATGTTTAAACACTAAATTGTGGCACAAATTTGATCATCTTATCCATACTATATGACCTTTCTGAGACAAGAAGTTCCTTCTGATCTCTAACTAGAACCTTTGCTAACTGGGTGTCCAGTGCTGGAGGCTAGCTCCATTGTCAAAACCTTTCTGTCATTACCTTTAATTGTTCCTCAATTTTATTGGTTTTGGAGACCAATCTCTTCACACATGTATACTGACTCTTGGGTACAGATTTGAAAACAGAAGGTGTATTACAACTTGTAAAGTGCAAGATGGTATTTTTGTCTAAGGGTTTCCTGTACAGATTTGTTTCAAGTTTACTTCTTGTTTTTTTTTTTGTTTTTTTTTTAAGATTATCAAGAAAAGGTAGACTTGACAAAATGTATGTCATCGTAAACTTGTTGGAAGCCACACATGAGTTTAAAAACTGAAAAAAAGGTTTCCAGAGAATCCAATGGGCTACTCCACAAAACCAGCACATCATCGATGTAGCACAACCATTTGGTGGCAAACTGTTACTATTACTCATTTTGATAAATGCTGGTTTCCTCCAATTCAAACATAAATATGCTGGCATGTGAAGGTGCTACATTGGAACCTATGAAAATCCTCCTTAGTTGGAGAACAAATTCTCCTTGGAATAAAAAAAAGCATTTTCAACCATGTTCATCTTCATAAGTTCCATTAGTAACATACATGTTTGCATGCTCATATCCTTAACCAATCAACACATTTTTGATCAAATGTCACCAGAGTTAACCCACCTGCATCCCGAATTTTATTTATTTTAGTTAAATGAGTACATCAGATACATCTTTGACACGTGACTTAATGTTGGACAGAAAAGGTTATAACATCTTTGCCAGGGGAGATAACAGGGAGCCTATTCCTGCTACATAGGTCTTCCCAGAGGATCAAATAGTGTTTGATGGATCTTGGGTAGTACATACAACATGGGGACAATTGGACGTTTCTCAATCTAATATAATTTTCTAACATTAGAACATCCTTAGTTTTGTTTTGTAAGGTGATAGTTGGATCATTAATTTTTTTTTTAGTTTGTAATGTCATCATTAAGTTACCTTTAAATTTATTTAACATAATTACTTTTGTTTTGGGTCCCAATAGCTCCCCCCTTGTCAGCTGGCTTAATGACCAGAATATCATTATTCTGCAACTTTGTGAGGGGCAAACTTTCACCATTTGTCAAATTGAGGGGTTTAATTTGTTGATTGTTCTTTGTTAATTGATTTGTTGTTTGTGGATTGTTACTTATCAAGTTAATTGTTGAACATGCACTTTATTTATTGTTATCAATTTAGGTAATTGTATGTTCTATATATATATATTGTATCTATGTATTATGGTGGTAGCTTGATAAATGACCTCAGTAGGGGTCAAATCTTTGTTGTATCTTCAATAAATCTGCCTGTCATTTTACCTTGAATGCCTGTACCAGCCTTCTTCGTTCATTGTATGTCTGCGGATTTCCCAACCTCAGGTGCAGTTTGGACCTCCTTGGATTATATAAGTAGAGTAGTTTCCCTTGTCTTTATAATTTTTTTGTTCTCTCTGGAA